TTCGCCAATGAAATCTCTCGACTCTGCTGCTTGAAGCAAGCTTCTTAATTTGTCCGCCAATTTGCTGATGAAAGCTTCTTGTACACGCTTGGTTTTTATTCGTTAGCGATTAAAATTTTCAAGTCGCAGCGTTAAGTGGCCGCTAGTGATCAAGCGAATAATTGATCACAAAACACAACAATGGCTCGAATGTCATTCGATGACATGATTATTCTCTGATGCTTATGATCTGAGTGGCCGAGGCGTTTTGGAAAAATTCGCTCTGGAGGAGCAGCAAGAAACCAGCGACAAGCGTCGAAAGCGATATTCGTCGCGACTATACGCTATAAGAACAAACCCACGTCTAGAAGAAGTTTTTAGTAGCGAATTCGCTATGACGTCACTAGACGCGGCTTCTAGCGAATAAAAGTCACGCTTAAGCAGCGCTGTCGTTACACGCGAGTCAAGTAAACGCGTGTTTCAATTGCGCGATTTAAGGGAGGTGAATGTTCGTTAAACCGGCCTCCAAGCAGAAGTTGACAGAAAACCGTTCAGTCTTGAGACCAGAATTCTATTCCCACACTATCTAATGCTCAATAACAAATATAATCTGACAGTTTCGCTCGTCGCATGCATACGTATTGCGCAGCACATTGCACGTGCGCATCCGCATCCATGGCGTAACATATCCAGGTTGTCGAAACATATTCGTTCGTGCCTGAAGGAACCGTCCAGCATCACTGTCGGCAGTCAAAGCGATCGGCTGTTGCCGGTCGGATAAGTCTTGTCCACGTGCTGAGTGCGACGAGCTCCCGAGGTTCGACCCCTCGTTGCGATGAACCGATTTGCGTCTGCTGCGAACGCGTTGCGCTCGACCTGCAACTCGGTTTGTCTTTGCGTAATCCAGATTCGCAGCGGAGACGTTCATCCGAGCCAAAGGCGTTCGATAATAGCGATCAGGAATAGACCGCATAGAAAATGAACCGCACGGTTAAATAAGTTATATTTATGTCAAATTAGCCACACACATAATTGAAGTTATTTTTAATCATTTTTGTAGGTCGCCACTATCCACTGCACTATCCAATATTCGTTACTATCCACTATTCGTTAATTTGATTAAAGCAATGGAGTCAAGAAAATGTATTGAAATTAATGTACTCAAATTAATGTAATAGATAAGCCATGCTTTCTTATTTATGTTTCTTATTTATGTTATGATATTTTTTCTAAAAGATTTTACTTTATTTCACTTTCTGTAAAATATATTAGGTGCGCAACTAAGTTCTCGCTGTTATTTTCATTGGCATTTGCATCAAAATAACAGCGAGAACTTAGTTGCGCACCTAATATATTTTACAGAAAGTGAAATAAAGTAAAATCTTTTAGAAAAAATATCATAACATAAATAAGAAACATAAATAAGAAAGCATGGCTTCAAATTAGATCTCAATTAAATCAATATTACATTTCGAGTTCTCTTAAATTAAAATTCAACAAAAAGGAGATTTTATTATTGCGTGTAACGATTGTTACGAGTTGATTAAGAAATAAAATGGACAACGGAATGAACGAGACCTTTTTAAAGAAATTTTATTTTATTCAGTTAATGAACGTATCCTCGCAAAATCCCTCTACAATTTAATTCATTTAACTCTCGTCGATTTCCGTCATGCGTGGACAGAAAATTCGATCGGATGTGTGATAAAATTTACGGTATTTAGGAAAAATCCCGATTTTAAACTCAATCGGAAGTACCTGCATCCGGAGAAAAAAAAAACCGATGAAGTCTCGCCCGTGCATGATCCTTTGTTCGTCGGGTCGCCGAAACTATATATTAGCGATCTAAAAAAAGAATACAAGTGCTCCACCGACATCCCCCGTTGTGATATCAAAACGGTGTCATTCCTCGGTCAAATATAGCCCTTTATTCTGCGAATACGCGACAAGCTCAAGCTCGTAAGTTCTATCTATAGGCGATTCGAAAGCGGAGCTGCGATACGTTGTATTGACGTGGAGACGGATCTCGTGAAACATGCATGCACGCGAGCTTCGACACGCGGCGTGTCACACTGACCTAGAATCGCGCGAAGAGAAAGAAGAGGTCCCGATTCTCAGGGGGATGATACAATTGCGACCGAGATGAGATTAAAGTCTCCAGTTCGATCATAGTGGCATATCCCGTCGCTATCGAATCACCATTCTTCACTATTTCGTCAATTTGTAGCTGATTTTCCATTTTCGACGAAGGTATCGGGGATCGTCTCTCGTTGCAAGCACCTGATACTGAATACGTCAGCAATTGATTTGATAAAAGAAATATTTTTGAAGGGTGAACCACATGGAAATGTTGGTCGAATTGAATCGAGATCGCAGATTATAAAGTAATTATTTAAAATAATCGTAAAAGGATATCGTCTGCAGTATATCGTGACGTTAATCCTTCGTGGTCACCTGAGGTCAAAATGAAAATCCTAGATGCGGAATTTTCTAAATATCTTATCGATGACTGTCGCTATCGTTAACTAGCGACAGTCAATGGCAGGACAATCTTGGAAGAAAGCGCGACTTTCATTGGCTGTCGCTAGTTAATGATAGCAACAATTGTTGATAAAACGTTTAGAGAATCCCGCAACAGAGTGTATTTAACAAGTAATTTTTTTTATTTCATAGATCGAAAAGTGAACATAGCAATTATGGGATCATTTTAACTCCAGTGCGACGATTACGAAACTTTTAAGAAGTGTGACCAGGAAGGATTAAATACGATCATAATGGCAAAACATTAACTCAGGTATCCGCGGAACGTTAGTATTGCAAATAGATTTTGAAAGAGAGAGAGAGAGAGAGAGAGAGAGAGAGAGAGAGAGAGAATTAAAAACACACCTAACTGTGTTACAAAGATAACAGTATAATATAGTGTGTTATTACATCCTTATTATTTGTTAACATTAAACAAAGATGAAATTTAATGATCACTGTGTTACATTATGTTATATTGTGCCTCTTTTTAGAAAGCACTCATTTTTTCACGAATAAAGATATAACGACAGAAGATATGTTTTACTACGAGTTTCTTGTGAGAGACCAGGGAAAATATTTTCTTCGACATGACAAAACATATTCATTGTATCGTCTTGACTGTCTCGTTATATTTGCGAGAAAGTCCGTAACGTTGATGCCTCTTTCAAACAGGTTGTAAAATAAATATAAAAGATATGTTAAACATCATGAATTGTAGACGAATTTAAAATTTAGTTATTATAATTGTATATGCATACACGTTAAATGATTAATTATTAATGACATAATTAATATTCTAAAGTAGTTCATTATTAGTAAATTATTAAATATGTGGTGTAATAATTAAATTAAAAAAAAAATTTTTTTTTATTACTCTGAAAACTCCAATAAAATATTAAAGTGTTTTCTATGGTTGAATTCCAAAATAAATAAAAAAAGTTGTAAAAAGTTATCTGAAGTAATTTTATAAAATTTTAATATTTCGAAGATTTTTTCAGCATTCGCACTAAATTAATTAATTCTGAAAATCTTTGTTGCACTTAAATCCATTTTTATTATTTCTTATGAATGAACTTTAATTTCGATTTAACGGTTTTTTGTTATCTTTTCTTAATTGTTGCAACAGAAAAAGATAAAAATAAGTTAAACCAAAATTAAAGCTACTTATACTCGTATTTATTATATTTGTAATTATATATATTATAGTATTGGCAGAAATGAATTAACGCAAAAAAAAACTGCTCTATATATGAGACATTACACTAATTTAAAAAGCAATTTAAAAGGATTTGTAAACTATGGATTTGAAGTTTCACGCAATTTTGCTATTCCCTCTTTCAGTGATTTTATCACGCGAAAGTCGGTGACAAAACTCGATTGTTTAATCCGCATTTAATGACGTACAGGGCTGATCCCCGATTGTCGAGCGTCAAAAACGATGTCGCGACGTTGAATTACGCAACAAAATTATGCGTGATTAAAAAGACAAGAAAGTGATGGTTAAACTGACAATAAAATTAAATCTCCGGGTACGACAATATAATTTACAACGGAAGAAACGTCTGCGAGTGCGTTTCAATACACATCTACGAGACTTTCTTGCTTTCGAGACATGCCGGATAGTATTAGTTACTTTCCATTTTCACACAAGTGATACTGAGTAAAGTTATGTATTTTATACTACTTGCTTACTTTGGTGACTTTGATGTAAGTTCGCGTAACAACACAAGTTTATAATCTCACTTTTAATGTGAGTTAATAATACTCAGTAGAGCACACGGTCTCGAGTTTGTGCGGATTGTAAGTAAAAAACTCAGTCGCATCTCACATGTCAAAATGAAAACGAACGTGCATTGAACTGCGTTATGACGTCATAAATGAGAATTATCCAAGTTTTGATGTAAATAGAAAAAAAGCAGCTATTATCATTATCTGCTTATCGACTCTAACGCACGATAACACCTAATTTATCGCGAATGATTTATTTCCGGGAAGTTTGAAGCATCCCTGGCTACACATTAGTGTCTTCTCGCAAATCATTGCTTCGCAAAATAATCACGCTCGCAACTACCGATGCGTTCTTGGTTGTAACTTCCCTCGAGAATCTCTTTTCGTCAATATATTTTATTTTTCCTGCGGCAGTCTTCCGGGTATACTTTCACGCAAGGCTGCGCGACGTCATCTTGAGTAATTAGCATAATTATTATTATGCAATCTCACGCTGATAATGCTTCTCATACATTGTGACGTAACGATCATCGGCCTGTCGTTCTCCATCATTGAATCGCATAAACCTACGTAATTTTTAATCGCGATCATTGCTGAATGATTTTGCATTTGACTGGATAATTGATAATTAACAACGATCGCACTCAATTGTAATAATAATTAATAATTTATAACAATTTGTGACTCTCTAATTGTATACGAAAATATATGGCTATTAAATCAGCTATTTATTTAATTAATAAGCTAAGCTAGATTAATTCCGTTTGCAGGCGACAGAATGGTGGCTAAATGACATGTACCTGTCCATCCCATTGGCCCTGCCAATTAACAGCAACCCCGGCTTGGCCGCGAAACCGAAAAGATTTGCGAACCAGCAGGAAGCCGCGGTATTCCTCGCGCGATTTCTCACCGAGCTGCTTAATTATCAGGAATTGTTGGACAGGTGAGGTAGCGTTATGCAATTTTCTGCAATTTTCCATTCATTCTATATGATAATCCGAAATGTGAATCGCGTTCAAAAGTTTCATAAGTTTCGCAAGCAAACTAGGTTTCCGTCGCTGAAATACACCAGAAGACACATTTCAATCTTATTAAACTCGAATGTAGAAGTTTCGTTTCATTCGTCGATTTTTACGATCATTTCTATGCGAGCATTGGAAAGAACTGTTTTGTTAGTATCTAAAAATAAATGTTTACAGATTTAAAAATAAAGTTAGACCATCTAAATAATTATGTAGGACGCTCAAACTGGTTGCTGAAACATCAAAAATACTTTTTACAGCATTATTTATTACGTTTGGATGTTAAACTGTAATCAGACTAGACAGATTGAATTGGAACTTAATTAAATAGAAGAAAGAAAGCTAATCTCAAGTTTAGTGAATTTTGCTTCGATTGGTTAAATTTCGATTTAATCTCAACCTTAATCTTTAGTCCGATCACGGCTTTGTTCAGAGATGGATATTATCTGTATATTTCTACATTTCGCTTTTTAATATATTTCAAAGGATTTTATTCGTATTTCAGGATTTACGCGTCAATCAATAATTTTTATAGTCTAATATAAATATTTTCAGATTTACATTGGATTAAATTTTTAAATACTTCAACAAAATTGTTCTTTCCATGCGTTTATCGTATACAATTTGCCTTTCATTTTGGAGCAATCATTGAGATTGAAGAGCGCAAATTCGCTAATAATCGAGGGAGAGACGCGACGAGCCGACGTGCTGATCTCGTCTTGATCGAGGACAAAAAGAAGCCGCCCTGAAATCAATTTAGAGAGGACGTACGTCTGCGAGGAAATCCGGGCCGTAAGATAGATCCATAGAAAGCATAAAGAGGAAAGGGACCTGCGAGAGGCAATGAGCGGACGTTTCCGCGAGCTCAAAGGATCCTCGGAATCCTGCATCCGGACGAGAAGAAGCCGGCGCCGCGGGAGAGGAGAGTGCTCCTTTCTTTCAAAAACTAACGCAAATTCGCGAAGGGAGGCCCGCCCCTGAGTTTTCTTAACTGCAAATATAGCTCATCTTGTCTCGCGTTTCTTTGAAATAAAACGAGAAGGAAAGGTCTGAAAGGCGAGAACGAAGTCAACAGAAAGTCGACTCTACTCCTGCCTTTTTGTTTCTCACAAGTTTATTTTTTCTTTTATTATAATAAATTTTCTATGGAATCTTGAATAAATAAACTAATTGAATAAATTAATATTTTAAATTGATATCGTGGCATAAATTAACATGAATCAGGTGGAAATTTGCAGATTTTCTCGATATTGCGACTAACTTAAAAAATGTCAAAATCAGCAAATATTTATGAGCTTGTATACTTTCTATTACTCAAGCATATTAATTCATACGGCTGTTTGAGCCTTTAACTCGGTCATGACAAATAAAATCCGCGGATACGATTCGAAAGAGAGAATAAACTCTGGATTTGAATAGATCCGGATTGGAGATTGAACGTGTGAAATCCAAAGATGGCAAGACCATGCAACCGCTCTGCATGGCGCAGCATTACCAAATATTTCGGATTTATCGGCGACCCGGTGTAAACAACGACGAGCAAATTGTCCTGGATAGAGCGTCCTCCGGCGACCACATTATCGTCGCGCATCATAATCAGGTGAGATGGATATTATATCGCATTGATAGGAAATGACAATAATTTCTGTACACTTCTACATTTCGCTTTTTAATACAATATATTTCAAAGGATTTCATTCGTATTTCAGGATTTACTCACCAATTAAATTATATGTAGCGATAGATTAATTTTGTCTTATTATTTCTGAAACTTTAATTAATTTATTAAACTATCAAAAATATCTTATTGAACGATGCGGTGTCGAGAGAAGAGATATTTTACAAATGATGTCATGAGATTTTCGTTTATTCTCCCGCAGTTTTATAGCGTGCCGGTGAGGGCATCGGATCGAGGCCGAATCACGGAAATCGAATTGGTCCAGCAATTATTAAGGATCATGGAAACCAAAGCCGATCCTAGAACTCCGCCAGTTGGAATTCTCACGACCACAAAGCGCCCGGCCTGGGCAAAAGCGCGGGAGGAGCTGATAAAAAGTACGTATGACGACGATTAAAGGTGTTCACTGAGTATAAGCATTCTATTTAGGAAGAAGGGAACATCGTACTTTAAGCGCTTAATTCAGAGGCTCTCACGCTGCGGATTTTTCTTTGCGGAAAAAGAGCAATGCGATTGTAAAAAAAATTGTCGATTTTTTAAACTTTCATGATTAAAGGTAGATCAATAAGCATCGAAGCGATTTAATTAGAGAAAGCTCATAATTCTTTTAAAGCAGAATCTAAGGTCTCTTTTTGTCGTCATTATGTCGAGCTTCTTCGAGCAGCATTGTTAATATCGTTTTTATAGGATCTAGAAAGGAGATAAAATACTGTATTGATCCATAACGCGTGTAATGTTCAGTTTCTTACAACGAATAATCACACAATTAGTTCAGCTTCGTATGATGCAGAATCTTACAACAGCTACTCTTTCAGAATTATCAAAATAATTATATCGCTTATTATATATATAATTGATACGATATAATTATATATATAAAATTGTATATATAATTTCATTTAGTTTCCAAATTTACATATGGCATGTGTCATGTGTGAAATAAATTTCATGCTTCGTAATGTTACATGTTGTCAGTTAATGATTTATTCATGAAATTTATCTTCTTCAATTATGGCTTACAAAAATTATTTTACTGAAGTACATTAAATTTTAACTGAATACAGAAAATAATTTTGTTGAATTATAAAAATAATTATATAAGACGTTCAAGCTGATTGCTAGAATGTCGTGGCTTTTTGCGGCATATTGCTCATCGTTCTTGAGTTTTCTACATAATTATTTTAATGATGGAACAAAATAATTTTTTTATATCTGTATCTACTTAAATGTTTAAATACTTGAGCAAAATCCTTTCCGTCCTTTTCGTGCGGTTTATTTTATTATTAAGAGAGATAGAGAAAAAGAGAGAGAGAGAGAGAGAGAGAGATGTAATAATCTGGTTACCCAAAAAGTAGCTCGTCGTCTTCGGACGACCCTCGTCGCCACGTGCCCTCGCCATAATTATTCACTCGCGTTCACCGCTTCGCCAATATTCGCAATATTCCTATTAACTCCCTAACCCGACCTTGCTCAACGAGAACCTACGCCTACAAATCGAATGAACGGTCGACACTAACGAGTTAACGGGGACCCGCGTTCATGTTGATTAATTAAAAGCGTCGCGAAGACAACAGAGAGATTGTAACTTTAAAATGGCAAGCTCCCGGCGTCTCGTTCTAATAGACCTCGTCTCATAAATGCGTTCCAGTTTCGTATTTATCGGCGTAAGTCTTGTACAATGAAGCTACTTGAAACTTATATTACATAAATTTGATTATCTTCCTTCACACTTCGAAATAAAAAGGAACGACCTGTTTTCGAATCGCTGCGAAAAAAAATAGTGAACATTTTTAACCTTCCATTGCAGGCAATGCAAATTTTCTAGTATTTTTCATTCGATTCCCATTATTATTGCAGCAATTCTTCATTATCGCTCTTAATTTTTTATTTTCGTATTATTTCGTAATATTATATTCGAATAATATTTATTATTATTGATCATGGCACATAAAAAAATTTAAACCGTAAAACGCAAGCAATAAAACTAATTGCAGTAGAGATATAAGACCATAATGTAGGCAGCGATAAATTCAACATGTTGATCCAGGAATGGAAATGTTACTTTTATCGTTACTTTCTACAATAACTTCTGAAAAGTAACTTGTCACCATCGTACGTCTCTCTCTCTCATTTATTGCAAAAAGTAACTTATTATTTGTAACGTATCGACTTGTTTACTTTAACTTTGACTCGGTTATAAGCAATAAGTGTTTTTTTTTTTAGTAAACAACGCATGATAGTGACAAGTAACTTTTAATAAATGAATTTTTCCCAACCTTAGCTTTCAGTTAATTACTATTACTGTCATAAAAAATTGCAGTTTCATTATTAAATTGTCATTATAAAAAGTAACGGTAAGAGTAACGTTACTACGCTTCCAATCCCTAATACTCGAGGGACACATTTTTGCTGCGCTTCACAAAAATCGTTATATCGAAGCTGGACTGTCGTCCGAATTAACGAGAACTGCAAAACGGCTTCTAGATGAGCGCAATCGTCACAATCTGGAGTTGTTGGAGCGCTGTCTCTGCGTCGTTTGCATCGACGACGACGTGCTGCCTACCACATTTAACAATCCCATGAAGAAGGAGGACCGATGGATTGGCGACCGAGATTACGCGAACGTGCTCCATCATGCTCTCCACGGTGGAGGGTCCCGGCACTTGGGCGCGAATCGCTGGTTCGACAAAACTTTCCACGCTATCCTCGGCAAAGTATGTTTAACGGACATACATTAATTACTACACAGTCAACAGTCGATACTACGATACGTAAATGCGCTCACGTTTCGTTTTTATTGCACAATGAACGTATTATATAATACTTAATTTGATCATCACTTCTCCCGTCTCTCGAAATGAAACGAGATGACTTCATCTATTTGAGAATCATTGTGAAAGCCAATAAAAGCCTTTTCAAGATATATAAGAGAATTGAATATGTAAATATTTGAGATCGATTCGAAATTTAATTTAGCATCCGATATTCAGTTCTGAAGTGAAGTAAGTGGAATTGATTTTTTATCGCAATCTGATCGAAATCCAAGCGTGCTTGGCGCAATTAGAGAGACACTTGATAGAGTTCTTTATAGATTGAGAAAACGCACAACGCGATATCAAATGATACTTCTAGCGTATTTCCTGAGAAACTATATACCCTCCTATGGCTGGTAACAATTCGTGATGGTACGTTTTCTACGCTCGGTCGAATTGAACTTATCACTTTCACCGCTTCCAAGATGACTCTTCGATTTGATTGATGTCAGGGTTCACGGGCGAAATCACCGTTCGTGAACCCGCGACTTTACGTTAACGTTGCGCTTTCATACGTCGCACGACGGAATGTGTTGTCTAACTTAACTTCCTGTCGGAATATTTTCATAGATGATAAAAGTCTCGCGCATTCGATCTCTATCTCCCTGTCGTGTTTCATTTACGATTGATTGGTTAATTAATCTTTCGCGATGGGGATATCTCTATAGTTTCTATTTATTAATCATATTGCTTTTAATGAACGAGATTGTTTGATCGATCGTTTTCTCTTTTTTAGCCATTCACATGAATTATTAATGCGCAATAATAATAACATGTTAATAGGCAAACGATCATATATAATTACTTTTGTAACAATTATTGCAAATAATGAATGACTTACAAACATTAATTATTTACTGTATATAATATTTCTTGCAGCATATTTCAGATAGTATTTTTATTAATATTATTCTTTTATGTTTTTGAGATTAAATTGTAATTATTAATTATAGAGCATACAGCTATAATATAATTTATTTGTTTAATGTCAATAGTTTTATTACATGATATAATTTATTCATCGTTTCAAAAAAGACTTTCTCGAAATGGAACGGAGCAGATTTCTATTAAATTTTGTCATGTATTCTTTACACGAATTCTTGATCAAATATTGTCTTCCGTGATACATTATTTTTTTTTATTCACGATCGTTTCTGATATTTAAAACAAACTGTCACTTCTCGATAAAGTACTCGAAAAAAGGAAAATTCTATTCAATTTTTTGTTTGCACTTACTCAGATTTCATTTTGCAAATGTATAACACTTAACGTAGGACGGAATGTGGGGATTGACGTATGAACATTCCGCTGGCGAAGCACCGGCCGTCTTCAATGCATTCGAGGATATAACGGAGAAGGTGGACTCCATGTCGCCGCCGGACGAGAATTTGGTACCCTCGCATTTGCCGGCACCCGAAAAGCTAGAATGGTGCCTCACCGAGCAAAGTCTGAACGACATCCGAGAAGCCATGATGAACTTTGACGCGTAAGTCTGGAAAAAAGAAAGAAATAGTATGGAAAGCTTGTTAATTGTTAATTATGAAAATTGTTAAAGAAAACATAATTCTGAATATTCTATTATTAAATCTGCATTCATAATATTTCTTTTTGTTCTTCAGTCTGGTCGAAGATTTGGACCTCTGTATTCTGTGGTTTGAGGATTACTCGAAGGAGTTCATAAAGTCCTGCAGAGTCAGTCCGGACTCGTATATACAATTAGCACTCCAACTTACATATTTCAGGTGAAATATACTAGAAGTGAAGAAGAACTTCTCTTCTTTAATGTTCAAATCTTAAAAATTACCTTCTCCCAGATTCCCTTTAAATGTACCTAAAGTTAGTGAACCACGAGACGGTTTTGCTAAAGTATCTAAAAATTTAGCTAGATACAGATCTAAAAATAATTTTTTGTTGACCAGAATAATTATAGTAAGACATTTAAACTGTTTGTAGAATATTAAAACTTTTTTTAGTATTATTATTAATTATTTAAGTTTTACATAATTATTTTAATGGTCCGACAAAATTATTTTCAGATTTGTATTTAAATAAATTTTAGACACCTCCACAAAACCATTCTTTTCGTATCAGTCGGTTCAAAATACAGCTAGATGAAGTTTGATAGCAAAAATTATATTGGAGAATAGAATGTTACATGAAAAACTGTCATTTGTTGATTATTAATGAAAGTAAAGGAAGCCCATGACAGACAAAAGTTGTTGATAAATTCTCAAATCGTTATTTCATAATTTTGTCGTGTTCGCAGACTTCACGGGAAGCTGGTGGCCACTTACGAAAGCGCCGGCATCCGGAGGTTCGCATTGGGTCGCGTGGACTGCATCCGGGCCGCCAGTCCGGAAGCGCTGGGGTGGGCGAAGGCTATGTGCCAGGGCGATCCTCACGGCCAGATGAATCAGCCGAACAACGCCATGGACGGGAGCCCCAAAAGAGTTCAGTTCACCATTTACAGTGTAACTGAAACTTGGCATTTTTCCTATGCGATTCTCGTGTCGTGTAACAAACACAGCTCGAGTACACTCGACAGAACTGCGACAAGGTCGAGCGGAATGCGTTTTACTTACTTTACTTTTCTCCAATCTCGCCTCAATGCCTTAATTCTTTAAGCGCTCCTTGCCGTTGTTTTGTAAATACAAATAAATTTTATTTTGTACGGATTATTTTGCGTAAGTTCTTTATATAATTTATATGGTAATTTTATAGATAATTTAATTAGGACAATTTGTTTGCGTAAGATAACGAAACCTTAGCGATATTCTTCTATTAAGCTAGTCTCAAAAAAATTTAATGTTGAAAATAATGGACAGTTGGATGATTGAGCACTCGCAATATTTTCACGACTTGATGGATCGCCGGTTAAAAACGCTATTTTCAAAAATTTTACCTCGAGTACTTTCGCTACGTAATAATAACGACTTCGTAGTAGAAATACAATCGCGTGTTCGAAGTAATTTCGTTCATGTACATCACGATGCATCTTTTGCAGTGTTACGACAAGTTTCTGAGTGGTTGGTCGTATTGCCCATTTGCATTGCCAAATGCACCTACCTACGAGAAGGTTTCGGTATAATATCTACGCTGTTTCCTTTCCGTTTACAGACACGTGTCTCTTGTCTTACATTATTATTAAAAAAATTATGTTTTTCTTTTCATTTAGATTAGATCATATCGGTTTTTTTAAATATATTTTCGCCGCCCAATTATATAGATATTTATGTATGTTTATGTGATATTATTGCAATTTTATATTGACGTTACACTTATATGATTTTTGCAATTACGATTTATTGGTGTACGTTACTTATATTTATGTATACACTACGCTTCAGCTGATCTTTATCTGTAAGGTGCACAAAGTCATCGGTGTGTAGAAATCCTATGTACAAGTGTCAACGTTATTTATATGTGATTTTCATTTACGTTATATATGAATAATGCTTCTCATATTATATCTAAGTAATACTTCTGTTCTCTCTTTACATTTATATTTTCTTAAAATGCACAAGTGCTCCAAAATAATAGTTTCAAAATGTAAAAGATGAAAACCGTGGTTATAAAAACAGTTTGTCGTGTAAGATCCGTAAATTAAGCAGCCGCCGGACGAAAGAAAAAATAGGGAACTCCCCGAGGAAAAGGCAATCAATTAGTCCCGGTCCGCCGGCACGATTCATTCGTCCTTCACGATCGAGTATTTGCACGATCCTCGAGAGGCACCCGGAATATCCGCGGGGATATTCCGTTTGTTTCCCTTACACACGTTTCGCCCTCGTTCGGAAAATACTGTGGCAACGAGCTATTGTTTCTCATTTATCGTACTCGGTTGTTTCCCTTTTAGCGGAGATGTTGTTTCAGCTGCTCCTTTTTTCTTCCCTCGTCATTTTCTGTTCATAGTGAGTTGAATTTTCTACAAAGGTATATTCCTTCAAAATTATTATAACAATTCTAAAATTTGCGAGTTAATTCCCGCCAAGCTTATTTTCTTCATTTTATGGAAGTTATCAACTTATCTTCTGCTTAACATTCTTTATTTGTTTCTTTTATTTGCAACTTTTCGAATCTTATTAATTTAATATACGACGTCTCGAGAGCTGATTTAATAAATGTCAAATACCTTCACACGCTCGATGTTGCTTCTCACCTCCATGTTTCAAAAGCAATAAGTCTATTTCACAAAATGGTAATCGCAAAAAAGAAATTCACTGTTTATTAAAATCGGAATATCATGAAAAGGAATTTACGGTACAAATTAGCACAATTAGATATAGAAAGAATTCATAAAATTCATTAAGATATCCAGATCGAGTACCATCTGATCAAAATTAATGAAGTGTACCAAAATTCCTTCGTGATTCCTCCGAACTCTGTCGATCTTCGATATATGTATCGGGAAAATCTTCATCGAAAAAAGATTCGAATGATCCATCGCGTTGGACTCAATTGAACGTTGCTTCCGGCTCGCTTCCTCAGGCGGAAAGGATCAAGGAGCTGTTCGACCTTGCGGTGCAGAGGCAGACGAAAGAGATGAACGACAATATACATGGTCAGGGTATCGATAATCACCTGATGGGGCTGCGTTACGTGGCGAAGGAGGCCGGTGAGCCGATCCCAGAGATCTTCACGGACGAGGCTTACGCAATCGTTAATCACTTCGCCCTCTCGACATCACAGGTCAGTGATCAGGGTCAATTCATCACCGGAGCCAAATTCGTGACGTCGTTGCTTTTCAATTAGCATAGCCGTGAATGCATGGGCGTATGCAAAGGGGAGGGGGTAGAGGAGCGCTTGCCCCTCCCTTTAAATTTTAGGAAGAAGAAACGATTAAATTATGAAAATAATTTTTATGGCGAAAAGTTAAATATTTATTGACCAATGAATAATTCATTATTTATTAGAAAGTTCGCTGAAGATTTTCGAAGACTGGTTTTAAGTATTTTGAAGTAAAAGAAAGAATGCCTGTATAACCGATGCGGTTATTAACGCGTAAATTATTTGTATATATTCGCTAATAATTACATACAAATTATACATACAATATTCGTTTCGATCTCAATTCGAATCCTTTTCGATGCTTATTAATATGAGACGGTAATTAAAGTTTAAATCGAATCTTCTATCCATTGCAGTCCCACCAATAAGTGTATAAAATAATTTATGCTGTCATATTAAAATAATTGAAGTTCATAAAATTCTTTGACAAGATAGAAGACGAGATATTAAAAGAGGTGATGCCAGCTCTGCTGACAGAATAAGTATTTTAATAATAATTTTGTACGAATATAAATGTTTGCCTCTCATTGACTGGAACGCCCATGCACGAATGCATATTTCGTAAGTTCTCTGTTATAGCAAAACGTGTGTATTTATGATAATTGTGAAATGAAATGGCACAAAGAGAATTATTGGCTTCTCCAAAAAATGATGTCAAGTCACGGAAGTCTAAAAATTTTCGACGAGAATGTTTCGCCTCTTGATTATTGATTGGTTACTATTTGATGCATGCCATAAAGATTGTTATTTAAAGTGGACTATCATGACGAAATAGAAGTCAAGATCCCAGATATGTCGTAAGCACATTTTATAAAGGTACTTAATGACTCAGACAGCTTGAGCTCGACGCGATACGATTAGTTTGTTTAAGAAAAATTACATAAATGAAGAGATGATTTACATCTTAAGAGAATACGATCTTAATTAACATAAAATGAAAGTATATTTGCTCGTTATTTCAAGGTGAAATTTATTATCTAATTATCAGTAGAATATTTCCTTCGCGGATACACATTTTGCGAAGCAAAAGATTTTTCTCTTTCGATTAGTTATATCCTTAATTTACATTAAAGAAAATTTACGTTTGAAGATATGTAGTATCGCAATAAAATTCGATAAATGTTTTGAGAAAATAAATATCAACTTTATTAATACACGAATGACATTTATTGTCCTTCAAAAAAATCTCCTTTAGAGACTTCTGACAACATTCGTAAAGCTTGCGGAAACTCTGTGAAAAGTTAATTTCCGACATTGTCTTAAGTCTTGTTGTCACGCGGTCAGAAGTATATATATTGTCTCCAGGAAGGATTACTTTGAAAAACAATAAAGGTCATTTGTATATTAAGCGATGTTTATTTTTTCATCGAACTTTATTGTCATAGCAGGGACGAACACTTTTAACTTTTCTGGGAAAATCACTTAAAATTTTTTAAAATTTGTCAAAAATTAACATATTTTTTTATTAAATTCATTGGCTCAATTAAATATAATTTAAATCAAATCTAAATTTCGGAACTATTTGAGCCTGGCTAATTCGCTTACACCAATTCTTGTATTACAAACTTCTTTCACAAAATATAATCTATTACGTCAAACGTTTCAATAAGGTCCTCCTCAGAAATATGAACATTTCTTTTAAATATTCCAACTTCTATGGTATGGGTGTGAAATTCAATACCTACAGGAGTTCTGAGTGTGGAAAGTTCCATACTTTCCATAAGGAAGTCTCCATCTATGTGCCATATCATCTTCTTTAGCTCATTAACGGTGCCAATCGAGCTGTCATTAAAAGGATAAGGATAACACATTTTTGGCGTCATACGTTTTAACCGCGTGAAGCTTGAAATGAAGGTAAGATTTCTCCCGCAGGTTACCACGAAGAACGACGTGATCGTCGGATACGGGCCGGTTGTGCCAGACGGCTACGGATGCGCCTACAACGTGAGGAAGAATGGCTTCATCTTCTCGGTCTCGGCCTTCCACAGCGACGGCAGGACCAGCGCGATGCAATTCGCGCAAACTTTGGAGCAGAGTCTGCGGGACATGGCGGCTATGATAAAGAATTCAAAGAAGTGATAGACGCGCGCATGATAGCTTCGCAAAACACGACACAAGAGCTGCAAAAACGCAGCACAGCTTCCCTCGACGGGGACGTAGGGCTGATGTAGAAGAGCTTCGCGCGTCGCACGAGGGTGGTTCGAAACGCGGGTAGATTGGACCCGTAAGATGCACAATCGAATGACATCGAGGCCGCTTTCCCTCGTTTACGATGTCCTAATGTATTCCATTTGAAAAATACGCAAATGCAAAGCGTCTGTATCAGAAGCAGCATTTTTCGTTTTCACGCGTCGTCAATTTCGTTCGATTTCTCGCGGTAAACTTTAGGTTTATTTTATTACACTTGACTTTAATTTAATTACACTCCATTCGGACGAAGTGGAGAGCACGACTTTCGGAGCACCCTTGCATGAAATACTGTATGAAAGTATAACTTGTAGACTTAAGGAACGCGAGCGTAGGTGTAGCGCAAGAGAGAGAGAGAGATTTATCAACTCGTTCCCGCACTACTCGTTGAATATATCGTTGGGTTTGATATAATAAATCTCTATGGAACGTGTAGAAATAAAGAACGATTTTGTTGAAATACCTAAAGATTTAGTTAGATAATAATTAAAACTAATTTTGCTGGACTATCAAAATTATTATGTGAGACACTCGAGCAACGCAGCAAAAAGTTTTTGCCATTCTGGATCAGTTTGGATGTTCGACGTAATTATTTTGACGATTCCAAAATATCACTTTTAAAAAAATCTGCATCCAACTAAATTTTTAGATATAAAATTGTTCTTTCTCTTCACGGAGAAGAGAAGCGTTATTGAAAGGTGCGAAACTGTCGTAATTCTTAGGGTGTCCTTCGTTGCGTGGGCTGGTGTACTAGAAATGAATATATCTCTCGTTGTCTGTTTTCTAGAGAAGTATGTACAAAACACACACACATACACACACACACACACACACACACACACATACACACACAAGACATGCGCGTTTACATAATCTCATTCGCGGTGACAGCGAATTAAAAATCCTTCAGCGGTAGCCGTCGTATAGTAGGCGTCGTATGTTATAGATCGATCGGTCGTTTTAAAACTCTAGTCCGCTCCAGGAGAGAGAAGAATAAAGTTTCTTCGAGCGTTACGCCCACGCGCTGGAAAAATTGCTGAAACGATAAAAATTACTCGTCGGTCGGAAAGCCGCTTGTTACAAACGCCGAGAATTTCATTCGGACACCTTGAATTTCCGCATGAAGGAAAAGGAATAACATATCTCCGATCTTTCCCATCGAAAAAGAAATTTTTGGTTTACCAATGCCCGTTTCTAAAAGAACACGGTAAAAAAATATTTTGTATTTGTGTTAGAAACGGCTCACTCGAGTCCTTAAAATTTTGTGTTGAATTTTTAGTATCTGTTGTAAAAGTTTGTGTTAATTTAACATAATATGATTATGTTATTCGAATATTTTTGTGTTAAATTGATATTCAATATTTCCTAGTTAAAATAACACAATTATGGGTATAAGTGAACGTAAAAATAATATTTTTAAAACGAAAATTCTAAGATAAATAAATAAATAAAATCTGTTAATTTACATATATAACATATATTACAAGTGTTAATTTTAACAAAGAAATATGATTGCTTACAAATTATGTCAGTTTTATGTGTTAATTTTTTACATAAGTTTGTATTACTTTCTAACATATTCATTTTGTGTTATTTTAACACAAAAATTTAAGTGGACCGTTTAGACCATGTTTAGAATATGTTAAATTTACCCAAAAAAAAAAAAAAAAAAAAAAAAAAATCTCCAATTCTGTAGATTAACTTTAATCTCTGTCCAATTTACTTTTCATCCTGTAATTCTTATAACTAGAAGTAGACACAGAATTAGTTGAACTGAGATTAAAATTAAACTACATTGATAGAAACATAAAAGTGTGGACATAAAAGTGTAAAGCTGTTCATGACAGTGTTCTCTAATCTTCTTAGGAATTCAATTTGAACTTTCGTGGATAATTCCGTCATTCGATGTTACAATTGTGTTACGAACTTTCCAGCGCGTGGGATTCGTCCACCGCAGAAACACATTAAATATGGCCAATCGTACGTATGTTGGCGCCCGCACAGTAAACTCTTGTCCAATTCTTAGGTAAGTCGGCGGATCGCATCGCTCAACTCGTCAAGAGCCGATCGATCGTCGACGGTATAGCTCTATCTGTCTATCGCGCTATTCTTCTACTCCCTACGATTTACCGTAGCTGACTACCCTGTGCCAGGGTTTGCGACCGATAAACTATGGCTATACATACGGTTGATTTGACAAAATTGCACGTGTAATTAACATAATCGTAATTATGTACGTCATTAATATTTGTGCAGTTTTTCTTGAAGGGATCATTGAATGATTCTTTTAATTGTCATTTTCTAACTAATCCAGAAAACAATTTTTCTTTGATGAAAATGTTGATAGAAGATTATCACTTTTTCAAGTTTTGACCATTTAATTAAGATCAGTATGATTTTGTTATTGATTTTTCCGAATTCAGAGATTCGGGAAAAGACATGCAATCATTTTGGGATGATCTGTATATAATTAACATAATGATAACTGTGTAGCAATGACATAAATCTGTTGAAACCGGATTTCAAATGTATGAAGGTGAAATAATATATCGGTCTGAAATCTTGGTACGCACTTCACGAATGAGGAAGAAACAAATTTCTCCAACTTTACACAATTTAGATAAACTTATCGCTCGACATGACTGTCAAGCGTTGTTATGCTCGTGTTTGATATTATTTATGTATTATTGTTCATTTAAATGAGATCATGGCAGAGGGCCAAAGAATTGCATATCTTAAGAAATAGGTGTCCCACTTTTATCACATCTCATCAACCACTACAATGATTTAACTCGTTTAAAAAGTCTGCTTTTCTATCATTTATAGTTTTTAAATAATATTATAACGATTAAAGATAAAACAAACCATGAACTTAGTTTCTGATGAGCTCAGCGAAGAAAAGTAAATTATAAGATTATCAGTACATTTTAAATAAGTTTAACTTTAACAGAAGTTTAAAATTGAGTACGTTTTACGTGAAAATAAGCAGCGTTAAAAGTTTATAAATTACTAGAAATTGACGATCTCTCTCGAGGTTTCCGCTGGAAAAATCAATTTTAAATTAGCTGAAGAATCTATACGAGTAGTAATACGGCAGAAATGAAATATTTTATTTTCTTCTCAGATGTTATTGATTTAATTAATTAATTAAAAATTATTTCTCTATCAAAATCTCTATAGCATATCTATTTATATACATATCAAATTACCAAACACATTTTCCGTGATCCCATTTCTCTGAACAATATATATTTAATATTTAATTCGTTGGAGCAGAGATGAATCCGCATTTCTTCGATTCCGCGATTTAAATAATTTAGGCGATCTGTCGCACTCGCCTTTCTCGTACTGGAGTATTGCTGTTATCGATAGCATCGTGTGCTTGTTGTAGTTGTAACGGCGATTGATCGCGAGGAATCGCCTTTATAAGATAAAGTCGCGGCTATAAGATAAAGTTTTTAGGTGTCAGCGTTTAGTTAGCTTCTCGATAGTTCCTCTAGTTAAGATATAATTGTAATTAATTGCTAATAGAGAAAATGAGGGAAAATGGATGGAAGCATGGGAGAAGCTTTGGACAAGATTTTTTACTGTCAGATTTGTATGAAAGGCAATGCGTTGTTGTATACAAAAAAGATATAAATTTTCGATCTGTTTCATATCCCATCGCGATCTGTCTGATCAACACTGTTACTGATTTCTTGCGTGTTTAAAAGAAAAATTAGCTTATTACGACTTCACTATATATCGAATCTCCCTCATCTCCTTATCTACTGTTCTTATTACAGAAACATTGTTAAATTGCGATAAATTTATTCACGTTATTCATACTTTTTGAAGTCGTCTTAAATTCGCGTTTTAAATTTACTATGTTGTAGAGATTTAATTTCGTCAAGTTTTTGAAGAAAGTGGATTAGTGAATCTTCAATGAAAGGTTACAGTTTTCCTATTCATATTCTTAAAATTAGAATCTTGAAGAAATTCCTCTTGAAGGTTCTTCCTTGTTAAAGCTTCGTTCTTTTCTATGAGCTATATATCTGGTTATTATTATTCAATTGCTTCGTTATTGTGTTACGTAGCCGCGAGTTACGCGTTCGAATTTTACGGGAAGTTAATCAGGGAAGTTAATTTAGCGAAAAGTACGAAGGAGCACGATGCCTCCTCGTTATTGTTGAGAAAGGAATGGAAAAGAAGATGCATGTACATTATAACAACGCGTAAATAAATTGTGCATTCGAGAATACGTTCGATGGTGGAAAACTTCGAGGCACTCCTTTTCCCCTACAGCACAAAAGTTGCAGCAACAATGCAATATTGCTGCAAATTCTGTGTTGTATGGGTTCCGACTTTCGAAATGCATCGATATTGTAAAAATACGAAATGTCATCCATAAGAGACGCGTGTATTTTTACAGAATTGATCGAGAGGAATCATCGAAGAGAAGTTTCGGTTCTCCGCTGTCGAGATTGAAGATACACGTGTTCTCGCGTATGCAGGGTACAGTCAAAATGTATGCCGTTGAAAGCATTTTCTCGGAATCGCCGAATCGCACGTATGTTTGGAAAATTAAGAATTTATATGTAATTGGATTTATATATAATTGCAGAATTTATATTGTATATTTTCGACGCCCGGTGATTCGCATTTATTTCAATTGCACCCTGTATACATCCGATATACACGTGCCATGTTCTATATTAGATTCTAAGAAGCACACAAATACCACTATTATTACTGCATAGTTTAAAGGCAGGGAGTACGACTAGAGATACTTTACTTATACATATCGCGAAGCCAATTGTGATCGCACTTTTGCGGCCAAGAATATCATACGCATATCAGGCGAAAGCCAACGTAGCGACGATATTATTCCGGGATAGCACATATCCTGATAAATCGTTAGGAGCACTTACGAATGTAATTATGATATAACTCGAGAGTTCTAAGTAGTAGATAGAGAAATATATCAGTGCGTTAAATTATTCGTTGTTTCCGGGATGTTTCGTATTGCGTGAATTGCGACAGAACAATTCTACAATTCTGCTACTTCGTGACTTTTTAAACGATAATGCCTTCGTTTTAGTTCATAATTATTAATTGAAACGTTAAATCGTTTTGATAAATTGTAAATATAAATTGATAAACATTGATTCTATTGAGAAAACATAAAAGCGATATTAAATATCAATTTGTTACCAATTCATTGATTTAAATATGTATTAAATCACATGCATTTAATGTTGAATGTACAGTGACGAAAGCATAAAAGATATATTTCTAGAGTAAGCAGATGACCAAAGCAATAAAAATATATAAACAGAAAACAGCACGCGTTTGAAACTGCATTGATATTTGAATTAGTGTTTAAGGATTATTCTTTCATATCCAAGGAACTATCTTATGAATAATCGGTGTCTAGTTTGCGAATCATTTCACAAACATGTTGATTATTAGAATATACATTTTAAACTATGCGTTAATGTTATCGTCACAGAGTATGATAAAAAACATGGCAGGTATGAAAGTATGATTATATAATTGTAGCATATATTCGTGTGAAAATAATGTTATAGTGTGTTAATAGATGTAGGACTTATCTCGTGACGACTATAATTGAATAAAATAAAATCATAAATTTCGTTCTTAGGCATCGAATAGAAACAATTTTTTCTTCTATTTTAAAAAGTCGCGATTCACGCATACGATTCATAATCGTTATGGGTAAGGGTGGCTTTCATCGTTGTTAAAATGTTTATTGAAGACTTTATATATATATATATATATATATATATATATATATATATACATATACACATACAATATATATATTATTAAGCTTTCAGTTTTTCGATCAGTGCTTGGATCTTGCAAGCCTAAATGTGAAATATAGATGCTACATGAAACGAGAATTGTCAGGGCACACATACGAATAATAATTATACTTTAGTGTCTGACTAATCGATATGATTCCCCGGAAGTTTTTGAGGAGACTGACTTGACTTTATCTTTAACTTCAATTCCCCATGTAATATATATTGTCTTTTCCGATTCTTCACATAACAAATTCACAATCCTCCTTACTTTTAATTCTTTGCACAATATGTTGTATAAATATTGTTGTTAACTCTGTTGTTCAATTCCATGTATACATATGATGTATATAATTTATATTTGTTTTGCTTCTATCCCTCTCTCTTATATAATAAATCTAGAAGAAAAAACCTGAATTTTTCTCATAAACTGAACATAGGTAATAATAATAATAATAATAAAATATATAATTTAAAAACGAGGTCCGATAGACCATAAACTGAAAAGTTAAGATAAACTAATTTCTAATTATATTTTTAATGCCATGTATGAAATAATTTATACATAATCCAATAGTTTACATAAAAAAAAAAACTCTGACGCAAATATGTTCAAAATTTAACGTATGATATAGTTTTAAACCTAATATTTTTAACAAATTCTTCACAGTTTGCATAGAGTTTTTTTTTAATCTTGGGTAATATATGACTCGTTTTAATTCTTATGCGAACATCTCCACTTAAGGATCTTCGTAAGAGAAAGATTATTCGAGATTATTCGAAAATTTATTTTTAATTTTATTCTTAATACATTTTGATATTATTTCAAAAAAATTTTAAATTTAATTAAAAAATATTTTTAAATAAATGCTCGATCGAAATTTGATATTTCTGAAGAGATACAGAGAAAATGTTCGGATAAGAATTAAAAATCGTGGCATAAATTATATATACCTTCGTGCGTTCGATAGATAAACGAATATACACTCGGCTTACCATTCGCGCGGAAAGCATACACAGCATACCTCCGCTAAGTAATTGACCTATGTCAAAGTATGTTGTATCACATGTGTACGTTTCCTCATGCAGAAATAAACTCCATCGGAATACCAGATTGTTCGTTGTTTTCTTTATTCATCATTATTTTATTTAAAATAGAATATGCATTCTATAATAATAACAAGTCATTTTACCTACGAAATTATCATATAACATAGGCATAACACGCATGCTTAAAGCTGCCATTATTGTACCTTAAAAGGGGGTATCTTAGCAACACTTATAATTACACCTCTCTTTAGATCACTTTAGGTTACAACTAACACTAAATACGAGCGCCTAAATATCCAAAATAAAAATACAAATTTTGACATAACGAGTTTCTGACAGCCGCATTTAATACTAATTGTGAGGTGTGAATATAATCTTCAGAATGTATCCTTTATCATTTGTACCAGTCATATATTTATAAGGAATACACACTATTAAAGTTTATATAAAACGATAAATGCATATATTATAAAACTATATTTGTGTATATTTTGATAAAAATAAAAATATATATTTTTTTTTCATTCTTGTATATTTAAACACTATATATTCCTTGTAAATATATAATATCACTCGACTGAGTGAAAATACGCGCGATCATTGAATCACGATAATCAAATATTACATTTCATTAAAACCCACTCAAGATCTCTCTTAATTCTTTCAATTCAAATTATCAAACTTATTCTAGCACAGCTATCTTAAAAATCACATATAACACATATAAAGAAAATCCCAAAGTTGCACTTTCTTTCCACTAGACCTGGTATAAAACTACAGTTGAATTTGTTATTTACAAACAAGCATCATTCATATTTTTCCATGCGCAAAAGAATGCGTAAAGAAATTATTCGCCGTTAATCTTTTTTACAAACCGTATTGAAGACACTTCATTACGAAATGATTAAATCATCGCCATCATTAATGTCATTTAAAATTTTCAACATTAAATATCTTTATCATTGAAGCTAGAATTCTATTAAGGCCGAACATTCTATTAAGGCCGTTTTATAATAATTAAATTAATTAAAAAACTAAATTTTGTTTTTTTACACTTTACAGTGCAAATTATTAGGTGTTGGAATTAATTCGTAGCGTTTTACAAGTGATGGGAAGTACTTTCATTAATGTATTTTTTAATGCTCATGTGAAATAAATAACATTCTTTCATTAAAAACGCTACGAATTAATTCCAACACCTAATATTATTTGGTGTATTCTATATACGTCAAAATCTAACTATTTGATATAATCTATATATGTCAAAATCTAACTTACAACTTTAAATGCTAATAGCTTTGCTAATAGTAATCTTAAAGTTGTCTCATTATTTAAGTCTCATTATTTGATAATTATAATGGAAAGAAAGTGTACTTTGGAACGCATAATGTATAATTATGCTTAAGTATAACATGATCACAATAGTACAATATATTATATTGGTTTTGTCAATGGATAAAACATTTTCAGACTACTGCCTTCTTTGTATAGTCTACTGCAAATAAACTTATTACATTTAACATAATATTAACAAAATATTTACGTTTAAAAAGTGTCGTTGAAGCTGGATAAAACACACTGAATTGTGCAGAAGAACGAGAACATGTTCAAATAATACGATATAGCAAATGAGTGGAACAGTTCTATCGATTAAGTGCGAACACAAATACCAGCTTTGCCTAACAGAGATTGTGCACTGCAAGAAAAATAGATATGAATATTATTTCTAAAAATTAATTTCATCATAATTTCGTCTGAAATCATTTGCTTAAAATTTTTAATGCAAGATTTTAGAACAAGATACACATATCTTTGCACAGATTACAAAAAAATGATTAAATTTGTCTAATTCTAATTTTTCTTATAGTATCCTGCTTCAAGATTGTGAGAAAGATTATAACGTACGAAAAAAAAATTAAAGGCTTATAATTCATAAATGATACTTACATCTTTCTGAGCTCTTAGTATCGCACAGACATTGTTAAATCACCATCGTTAACATCTTCATATTCTCCATGCGCAAAAGGATGCGCAAAGAGATTACTCGCTGTTGACCTTTTCTTCGGATCGTGTTGAAGACATTTCTTAACGAGATCTATGCCTTCTGCGGAAAGATTCTTCGGAAGTGCTGGTGTTTCTCCCATTCCAACCTTCAACGAAAATACAAAAATGTTTGAATTAATGTTAAATTGAATGATTAATATAGATTTTAAGTTTAGAAAATATAGTTAAAATTCGATTTAAAAAATAAAGATGTGAGACGAAAGATTTAATTCTAAATATCTTCCTTTTCAATTTATCTTTCTCAAATCGTCAAAATAAATAATTACTCTCTATTATTGTAATAATGCATTAAATTGCAATTACCTTAAACATAATTTGATAATTTGAATCATAATCTGACCAAGGCCGTCGTCCACTCGCCATCTCGATGATGCAGCAGCCCACTGACCAGATATCAACAGCTCTACCATGTCCACTACTTTCAGACTTCATGAATACCTCTGGTGCCATATAAGCTTTAAAAAAATTAAAGAAATGATTAAAAAATATAAATAATAAAGTTTTTGAGTATATTAAATTTTTAATCGCTTTCTTGCTCTCTCTCTCTCTCTCTCTCTCTCTCTCTCTCTCTCTCTCTCTCTCTCTCTCTCTCTCTCTCTCTCTCCGCTCGCGCGAGTATAGACAGACATGCTTTTCACAAAAATTGCTTTTGGACTCGTCTGCGCACTCAGCTTGTAACTTCGCTGATTTTTCCAATCTTCGATTACTGCGTGGTTGTCCTTATCGATTTAACTTGCCAACAAAAAACAAAGCTAAAAAGACTGATGAACGCCTGCGTGCGTTTTATTTTAAATCTGCATAGAGACGAGCATGTCTTTGAGCACTATCGCTCACTGGACTGGCTGTCCGCGGATGACAGAAGAATCTTACCTACTGTCTCTTCTTTTCCATTGTCAGATTCGGCATCCCTCCTGATCTTTCCTGTAATTTCCGCTCTCACATTTCTCCTCACAATAACTTACGTTCTTCTAACACAATCCTCGCAGTTGCCACTTGTAGAACGTCCACTTTCTTTTCAATGTTCGGGCTCCGCTCTCTGGAATAATCTTCCTGCTAGAATCAGAGAGAACTCTGATTCGCTCAATGCTTTTAAACGCGTGCTCTTCTGTCATCTGCGGCAGCGGGGGTCGAGGGATGAATAGTTTACGTCTTACTACTTCATTTTGTTTCGTCCCATTTCAATTTTATTTTCATTTCATCTTCTATCAATTTGTAAATATCGCATAACTTTGCTCATATCTTATCTCATCTTATCTTATCTCATTTCAATTCATTCTAGTTTCATGTATCTTCCATTAATCTATCACATAACTCTATTTCAGTTTTAAATAAATTGCGTTATTTTCTCATCTTTTTCTTCTTAGTTTCAACATCATACTTGCGAGCACACACTTCTCGTTCATAACTTTGTACTTTAGTCACAATTCTTGTAATTTTTGCAATTCTAGCAATATCAGTAATTTTTATGTGTAACTTTGTAATATTTGTATTTGTAATTTGTAATATGTATTATAATTTCAATTTTAGTAATTTGTAATGCTGCCGCGACATTCTATTTTCTCGCTATGAATATTCTGTCACAAATTTTTTGTTATGCTTATACTGCTACGATTATACTACTGTATTAAAAATTACATTTTCTTCTTGTTCTTAGAAGGCTTGCCCTAGAATATCATAAACGCTTTCTCTCTCTCTCTCTCTCTCTCTCTCTCTCTCTCTCTCTCTCTCTCTCTCTCTCTTCCTTCGTCTATTTTTAATCAATCGCAATAAATGTATGACATTTTAATACATAACAATTAAAATAATACTAACCTTGAGTACCGACAAAGCCTTGGAGTTCGCCAGGCATAGTTGTATGTGCTTTAATTTGCACCGCACTACCAAAGTCGCCGAGTTTCAAACTATTACCTTCGTCTGTTAGAAAAATATTTGCAGCTGCGGAAAGAAAAAAAATATTATGGAATCATAAAAATAGCACGGATTTTAGAACAGCTCATTTTATTCAAATGTAATTACTTTTAATATCACGATGAACAATTCCGTGAGAGTGCAGCGCTGCCACAGCCGAAAGAAGCTGATGAGTGTACTTTCTGACTAAAGATTCTGGCAGTCCATTACCGCTACCCGCCACCAAGCTCTCGAGAGTTCCCTCCGCACAAAATTCCATGAAGATCAGCATCTCCTCCTGAAAGTAAAATTTATCGTAATAAATGCGATAACCACAAGTTAATACATCATAATGATTCTGTTGTTTATCGTACACGATGAATTTCTAGCCCGTAATATCGCACTAAATGCTGGTGCTGAATTCCCTCGAATATCTGTAATTCCTCGGCGACACGCCTAATTGCTCTGTGATCACCAGGTTGCAGTTGTACCTCTTTCATGGCCAACAATTCTCCAGTTTGATTGTTCACTACGGTATACACTTTGCCAAATCTTCCTTGGCCTGCATAATAAAATTTAATTGAAATAACAATACTAAAAATTATAATTATTATAATTATCTATTAAAACAATAATTCTTTTACTTGTACTCCAAATAATCATAAAACGTACCTATTTTAATACCTCGCTGCCATGTAAATGTAACTCGCCTAGCCTTGATGTGAACTTTGTCCACTGTTTTCCTGTCGACGACTTGTCCGATGAGTTCCCGGCTTCGTAATCTTTCGTCAAGTTCATCCTCGACTTTCCTAATAGCACGTATGACTATCTCGTGCCTTTGTGTACCTCGCTCGGGCATGTTTATTATCACTGCGAGATTTCCGTCAATTATGTTCGGCGAATTATTTTTCTTCACATTGATCAATAATTCGGGTGACTTCAAAGCGTCCCGTGGCTTCTGAGAGATACTGATGCTTGCGGTTCTAGTGCGACCATGGCAAGGTGATGAAGCTCTTGATCGTGACAGTCTTCTCAAGCCTGAAAACAAATGTTGCCAATGATATGTTATAAAATATATTCATTTAATCATTTTCAGATCAAATTATTTATTCAAAAAATTTCAAAAACTTTGTTAATTTTATAAACAAAACGGACATTTAATATAATAAAATTAATATTTATAATTTCTATTAAACTTAAAGTCATAAAGATAAATGGAAACTAATCATGCACATATTAAAATTAATGACTAAAAATCATGTATTACTTTCTGTCTCCGGCGTTGATCCCGTAACCGATACGGTTCCCACGACATGAGATATGCAGCGATCCATGCACATCTTTAATTCCTCAAACTCCTGATCGGTGAGATGCTTCGTGTTTTGCGGCTCGCACACTGTTATTAAAAATTCCAGACCTTGATTTGCCCATCTAGGTCTCAAACCGCGACCACGCTCGCATCTTGTTCTCACGAACTCCATCCATAATAGTGCAAACGATACTAAACCCCGCGCCAGAATAGCTTTCTCTTCTAGCGAGAATAGTTTGCACATTTCCTTGTGAAAATCAAAGCCCATTTTGTAAGCTTGATGGAGGATCTCGCGGATTCTCGATCGTAAGGGCAACTGGTCATTCTCGGTATTTAATTGTTCCACTTTGTTGGCTTCGTTTTGAAAATCTTCGATCATCATCGTTATACGATGTCTCAAATCCAGGATTATATCCTATACAAGTATGAACATGAAGATTTAGCTTTTTAATAGTTACAAAATCGTTTATATAATCTTACCTTCAACAGTTTTAATGATTCCTCCAATTCCTGATCGCAGACAGGCCATTTCTCAATGTCGCGTTTCAAGCATTTGGCGAGATTGATGCTCTTCACAATTTTCTCCCGACTCTCTACAAACATTCCTTGCCATTCGCGACCCACATTCATCTGGTGTAATCTAAGCATTAATTCATTACAGAAAAAACAGTTTACAAAAGCAGCGAAACTGAGATAAATAAATGGAAATTTTCTCTTACTTGCTTGACAACTCGTCATCTTCCTCTTCGAAATTTGCAATTTCCCGTATTTCGCGAGTCCGTTCGACGAAAAATTCATTCACTTGCTTGATCATCGTACGCGCAATCTTACTACAAGAAATATCTTTCATATCAAATATATAAAACAAGGTAAATTAAAATAAAGAATATTTAATAATAATTTAACTTTATCGTTCTCTTACATATTAATTATATTAATTCCATTTAGTTCATTCTATTAGGTGTTGGAATTAATTCGTAGCGTTTT